TGTTTTAATTCATGAATACTTGACATGTTTGTCATTTACCTTTAATATTTCCTTCTGAACATACTGTTCCACCATGGTAGCAATGAGAAACCCTGGGAATGAGAACACAGGTAGCTAGCTAGGAGACACTAAAAGAATTATTTTCTAGGTATCAAGTTTTATTTCCACTTACTAGGTATTGTTTCTGGACAGTGATCGTGCTTTTTGGAAATCAGTTCTCTTCATAAAAGAACAGTTGAATTTGGGTTAGATGTGCAGCTCTCTGACTGTAACTACTCGGGATATTGAGGATGCAGGGGATCCTGAACCGCATTGTGAGACCTGTTCCAAAATAAGAAGGAAGTCAAAGACTGAAAATATGTTGGAAAAGGCTTTGCCAAGTGTGCATAAAGTCCTGGGTTTTCTCCTCTACAGCAGAAAGTGTCCCCTGCCCCAATGCTGCTGAGTGAATGAAAGCATCTGGCTGTTTAATCTGTCTCCCTCTGCCTCCATTCTCTTATCTATATAATCTCTTCTTAGGCTCAGATTGACTTTTCACTCTACCTTCTCCTTTTGCTTTGTTTTTTCTCTGTTTGTTTTGCAACATTGGAAATTGATAACCAGACCTGGTACATAGACCAACAAGAACTCTGCTACCAAACTTTATTGCAGCTGCTTTGTTCTCCTCTTGAGCCCCATTTGGCCTCATCTTCTTAGCTTGGCTCTATGTTGTTTATCACATTTTCCTGGCTCACCTTGGCATAAATTTAGGTCAAGCAAAAATGACTATGTATTACTGCACAAGTATTATCTTGCTCCTCTGCTTCCCACTGTATGCCTTAAAACCTCAGACCCAAAGGAGGATGCATATCCCCGGATGTACCACCTCTTTTGCTTTGCTCATGGCCCTGTTCACATTAAGCCAGGCAGTATCTGCAAAAGCAAACATTTCTTTGTTCCATAAATTTCATAAACACATTAAGAACTGGTCCACATCGGACTGAAATCTCAAGGTCCAAATCAGGAGCAGGAGAGAGAGCACGAGCAAGGAACTCAGGACCGCGAGGGGTGCACCCACACACTGAGACAATGGGGATGTTCTATCGGGAACTCACCAAGGCCAGCTGGCCTGGGTCTGAAAAAGCATGGAATAAAACTGGACTCACTGAACATAGCAGACAATGAGGACTACTGAGAACTCAAGAACAAGGGCAATGGGTTTTTGATCCTACTGCACATACTGGCTTTGTGGGAGCCTAGGCAGTTTGGATGCTCACCTTACTAGACCTGGATGGAGGTGGGTGGTCCTTGGATTTCCCACAGGGCAGGGAACCCTGATTACTCTTCGGGCTGAAGAGGGAAGGGGACTTGATCGGGGGAGGGGGAGGGAAATGGGAGGCGGTGGCGGGAAGGAGGCAGAAATCTTTAATAAATAAATAAAAAGAGAAAAAAAGAATTAAGAGCTAGCTAGGAATCTGCCTAAGCTATTGGCCAAACACTATTGTAAAAAAAAAAACTGGTTCACATCTTCCCTTTATTCTTCCATTAATGGCAAGGCTGCTTAGAGAACACCTGCTGCGTGGGAGCAGCATGACATAGTGAGTGGTTATGCTTCAGCCTTTGAAAACGAGGAAGCCGAAAGTTATACCTGCCATCTGCTTGCTGTGCCAACAACAGGCAAATCACCTAACCTCTTAGAGCCTCGATTTTTTTCCACTGGTGAAATAGAGACAACAATAGTGTATATAGCTGGGTATCATTCTGAAAGAAAAGATGCTTATGGAACATTTGGCACATAGACTAGCAGAGAGTAAGCACCTATTAGGTGATTGCTATTATTATTAATGCATTTTTGAGATGAATGAATGAAAATTATGTATGGAAGGGCAAAAATGATTAGTATTCTCATAAATATAAACTGTGTCTAGTACATTGTGATGGTGGTTTGAGGTCTCTCTCTCTCTTTCTTACATTATTCATATAAGAATTTCCTTTATACCTATGGTGTCATAGCAGAAACTATAGCAGTCTGAAAAGTGACTATTAATGACTTTGGTTTCTGTAAATTTGGAAAAATAGCATTAAGGACAGGACTTCTGGTTACCTATAGCTAATTAAACCAGAAAGGAACTTATTAGCAATAACGTGGAAAGGCCAGGGTTGGGCTGTAGTTCATGGAGTCTTCAGGAAAGTTCTCCAGTCTTCAGATTCATAAATGGTGGTGAACACAGATACAGCCAAAAAAAAAAAAAAAAAAAAAAAAAAAGATCAAACTGCTGAGATCGCCCACCCACGGACTATGTGTCCCCAAGGCCACCCACTATCACATTAATGGGTTCTGCTTCCCTAACACTGGCCTGCTGCAGCCTCCAGGTTTTCCATTCCTGTGTAACCACAGAGAATAATTTCTGAATGTCTGTATGCACTGTTCATTCTTTCTCATCCAATCTAGCAAACCAGACTTGATCACACTGGATTCCATCTGCTCTGAGAAAGGGAAAAGAATGACCTGATCCTTTAGGTTTGCAGTAAGGAGTTAGGTCTTCTCTCCCACTTGCCTTGGGCTTAGTCCTCCATTAGGGGTGTTTAGATGATAGGTAATTACTCACTGTTCACTAAAAACACTTAGAAACAAGAAATCAGGAACAGAAACAAGATTCAGAAATGGTCCCTTGGAGCTGAGGTGTAGTTCAGTGACAGAGTTCCTCTTTTCTATCCCCAGCACTGGGGTAGGATGCCTTAGAAGATTATCCCCCTGTGCAGCTGAGAGATGTCTTCTTCTGTAACTGTTTTCCACTCCAAATACATATGAAATAGCAGCAAAAGAATCTTCATTATTTTTCATAGATGGAAATTTAAAGAAAATCCTCTTTCTCAGCAATGTTTATCATGGCTAGTAAAGTAATTGCATGACATACTGACATTTATAAAAAGCATGGTGAAGTGCTGGAAACAGTTTCTGTTGCCAGACACCTATTGGCAGGCTTAGAAACAGGTCCCCTGGAGCCTGATGGAGAGAAGCAAAGCCTCCCTTTTTAAAGGAGCAGTAGATGGTAGTCTTTGTCATCCCTGACAGGGTAAAGCAGAAGGAATCCACGGGGCTCCCTCCATCTGGGAAAGAGTCTGTCTTCTGAGGCCAAGCAGTCAATGTGTTTGCATTCTTTACACTTTCTGCAGTGCCCTTTCAGAAGGACAACTTGTAGAAGGCTGGAAAAGTCCATCCAAAAGAACCACACCATTTCATGTTGTTTCAGAGCAGATAGGCCAACCCCGAGAACTCCCAAGCTAAAGATGGCAAGATGGAACAGTAAGAACCACCTGCAAAAGTCACTAATTGTTTCTTAGAAAAATGAAGAGATTGGTGACTGACAAACTCTGATACTTGAAAGTGTTGGTGATCTTAGACTTTATTCTCCCTCTGAATCTGATCCACTCAGTTAAGCCAGAAAATGCATTCATGACTCTTACTTGGGGACAAGTCATTTCTGCTTGAAGATTATTCCCATTTTAAGGGTCCATTTCCCATTTGCTTGTTGAACATCTGCTTTTAAGACATTTAGCCAAATCCCTTTCCTTTCAAGGTTCTGAACTTGTCATTTATCCTTAATCCTCGGAAGGAAATTCTGTGACTGCTCCAAGGTAAACAGGGCTTCACTCAGAGAGCAAAAGAAAAAAAAATCTCATTAAAAGGTTGAAGCAAAGCTGAACAAATTTACATCCTCGAATAAAACACCAATGACTGTTTGAAGTAGTGCTTCTGTGGGGGAAACAAAACACAATTTGATTACCAATTTATTGATCATAAATAAATGATCAGATATAGCATAATATGATGCTTTTGACATCAGAAGTTGACTGGCTGGAGCTCTCAAGAGAAATTTTTCCTTAAGGTTTATGATATATTTGCATTTTAATAAACTATCTTAGAGTGTTTTTCATTTCCTTGGTTTAAGTTTTCATCAGTATTAATAAAATAAGTTATTCTGGGTCTGAATCTGCCTGACATTAGAAAAATTATACATGGTTCTTTGTATTGTCCTCAGTTTTTCAAAATTACAGATAATTTTGTCTTTAAGCATTTTAACGGCAAGGTTTATGAAATGTTTCCCTTTTTGGTCCCAAAGCTCATAACAGGGCAGTATACAGCAGCAGGTGCTTAACCCTCACACATGGGTTACCTTTCCCGCTTTTCTGCTAAATGTGATCTGGTGGGATGGCCTTACCTGTTAGTCACGCCCTCACATGTCTCAGGGATTCATGGACCAAACGTTTATACCCTTTGTTTCTAAATCTATTACAAAGTTTTGCTCTAAATTATGTCAGTGAAGGCACTTATTAAAGTGCCACAGAGAGCTGAATCGCATTTATGCTGCTAAAAATCATTTAATGGATGAACAACTTGGAAAAAAAGAACTCTCACCACCCACGCACATCATGCTAAAACAGGGCAACGTTTTTTGCACTTGCTTTCCTGCTTAGCCTGAGAAAGATTACTGATGTCCATCTTTCCCTCCCTCAGCATTTCAGCTTCGTCCTGGCCAGCTGCTGAATCGTTAAGCAGTATACCGCCCTGTCTTTGTAATTCCCAAACCATGTGTCTCTATTGCCAACTGCACCGCACATCTTTACGGCAGTGACATGTTTGCAAAAGAATTAAAATCAGAATATTCATTTAGCCTCTTATTTTTTGTAAAAATACAAAAACAAAATGGGGAGGGAGGGAAAGAAAACTTCCGTGTTCTGTGCTGTTGTTCTCATGGTAAGATGCTCCATGGAAGGGAGCCCAGCAGTGGGCAGAGGCTGTGAGTCCCCGATAACGAGCGCTTAACATTTCCGTGGTATTCCCATTTGCTGGTGCACTGCAGCGGCCACAAGCCTGATTGATATATGCCTGCAATGGCACTTTTCCATTTGACACACTCTCTCTCTCTCTCTCTCTCTCTCTCTCTCTCTCTCTCTCTCTCTCTCTCTCTCTCTCTCTCTCTCTCTCTCTCCCTGGGTCGCTTAAACAACAGTCCTAACTTTTGTGTGTTGCAAATATAAAAGGCAAGCCATGTGACAGAGGGACAGAAGAACAAAAGCATTTGGAAGTAACAGGACCTCTTTCTAGCTCTCAGAAAAGTCTGAGAAGAAAGGAGCCCTGCGTTTCCCCCAAGGTAAGCAGGAAAACAAGCGCTGCCGGCTTGCCTAGGAAATTACTTCTTTCCAAACTCAGCCTTTCATCCTTCTTGCAAAGAGACAACCTTTAAATATCACTTAAATTTGCATCACTTTAATTTGCATTAATCTGTAGCTTGCTAGCCGTGTGGGCTTTTTGTTTGTTTGTTTGTTTTAAATGAACGGGTGTGTGAAGTCTGTGACAGAGCAGGAAGCGTCCCAGAGAAGCTCGAAAATATCTTCGGGATTGATTTCTTTTCAAACTCTGCATAGTTAGCTGTAACTTCGAAATGGTTCTTCTATGTGACACTATGAAGGGGGATGGAGAAGCAGCATTTGCTGACTTGCATTTGTGAAGTCCCGTATCTTCCCCACCGCCGCCTTCATCCCACTTACAATGGGGGCACTATTAACGCAGGCGAGTCTGCGAGGTTAAACGTGCACTGTTTACTTTTATTGCTCCTTATGTATGCGGCTGATCTCCTGCCAGGGCAGTGCCGGAGTGCTCAGAATGACTTCAAACAATAGGCAACATTTATGCCTAGCTTTCAGTGTCACATTGCTTCTTAGCGCTCTTCTCCCATCCCGCCTTGGGACTTTGCTTCCATGGATACATTCAAGAGTGTAGGGAGATGAGGATGGGTTCGCTGTATGATTATGATTGAGCGAAAAGTCTGAGGAAATGCATGCTGTTTGCCTTGGCCTTATTGCAAGGGGTTATTTTTAGTAGTCGGTTTGTCCCTGCAGCACGACCAAAGATCCAATGTCCAAGAAGTGACCAGGAAAGGATGCTCCTGACAGCACAGGGACCAGAACCTGGAGGAATGACTCCCACAGACACCTGAGGAATAATCAGAGGGTCCTTTCCAATTCCCGATTGCAACTTCTCTCATTAAATGAACAATTGAGCTGTAGGAGGCCCGGGCATAACTCTCTTGAGGGACGGGAAGTTTGATTGTGTGCAGAATGTTAATGACTCAGAAAGCACAGTAACTGAGGCTTATTGTAATGGACAAGCCCAGATAAGCCTCTGTGAAAGAGCACCCCCACACATTCTCTCTCTCTCTCTCTCTCTCTCTCTCTCTCTCTCTCTCTCTCTCTGTCTGTCTGTCTGTCTCTCTCTCCCTCCCTCCCCCCCCCCCGCTGAGATTCAGGTACAAAGAGTAATCTATTCAGCAAGATGAGAATTCCTTATACCTTGTAACTGTCATTCCTAGAAGGTATGGCTGTTGCAGAGCATGTTTCTCTCCATTTCTAATATTAGTGTGTTCTAAGTACAAGATATAACACGGCAAATCACTTCAACACAACACTAGTAACCAGCTGCATGTGGAAACACAGAGATGCTGCAAATTCACTGGTGGCTGTGGGTGTCAGCTCACTACCTCAAGAACCGTCTGCCTCAGAATGGCATTTAGATTTCATGCAAGTATCTGCTCACTTCCCCTACATTAATTTTCCTTCTGAAAGTGAACCTGAGGGTTCTGTCGGCTAGCTTGCATTGTGGAACAGGGGCACAATTTATGGGGATCCCCCCCCCCACACACACATCATTTTCACAAATAACTAGCCTAAGAAGCTTTGTGAAATAAAAGTCAGACATTCAAAGGAGTGAATTTACCATTGGGTCACTAATCAAGAAAGACTGTAAAAAATAATATGGATTGGATTGTTGTAATATTTTATGACAATTTAAAAAAATACTGCTGTTAGCAAAGCATTTAAGTGACTGCAAACAATTCTCCTAAGCTGTCATTCAGGCCATTATAGGAGAGCGTTTGGACACAAATGTAACGCTGTGCATCATTTCTCTTAAAGCACATTTGCTTCAGGTAATGGGAGGACTGGTATTATTACTGTGTATCAAGCAGCTGACACCCACAGATGGAAATATGCCTGTGGAGTTCTCAATCTTAATTTGAGTTCCAATGACACTGTCAAGGGAAAAATAAATCATTTTTCAATACATTTAACAATTTTCAACTCATTTATTTTCCTGGGTCCTTGAAAAATGACTTTCTCAGAATTCTAACCACCAATGGTGGCCAGAGACTGTTACTGTCTTGAGATTTCAAAATTTCAGTACCATTGTTCTTCCTGTGTCATTCATGCCAGCATCTTTTAATACGTATTTATTAAGCATTTGCCATGTGCCTGGCACTATCCTTATCCTGATGGATGCACAAGTGAATGGGACATTGTGCCACATTTTTATCTTTGGTCTGTATGCTCTTTCCTGTTGAATCTGGGAAGAGAAACAGCATTGCCAATGGGTAATTGACAAGAACTTTCTGCTTATTAGGAACCATATCCAATAGCTGCTAATGTTCTAGATTATTGAAATACTTATCAGCAGGTTTTCTATTTATAACGAAGGGTTCTCCTCTTCTTTGGCTGTTTGCACGAGATCCTGAGTATATCACACTTGCACGGCTAATCTGCTCCAATTTTTTCTTGGGGTTGGGATAGAAGCAGTTTGGAAAAAGAATAGCATATCCTTCTTAAGTTCTCTTGAACTTAAGTTCCCACCCTCTGGAAGGGAACTGTATGCTATCAGGAGATGGGTGTGAGTCACCTCCCCAGCAGCTGGCATCAGGGCTACTTGGTGAATCACTGTATTGGAAACACGCACAGAGGAAGATGCAATCACTCTCTCCCATCACTTACTTATCCTATTCCCTAGACTGAGGAAATCAGTGACCTCTGTGCTTGGCCTAAATTTAAGAGGGCCCTGGGATGAGTAGCTGGACGTTGTTTTCTAAACCTAGGTCTCTGTCTGAGCCACACACAGCGCAGCTTTCAAAGAAGTCAGTCTAGTGTTTCATCACATGATTAGGTTCCTGGGGAAAATCCTGAAAATGTCATCAAAATGTCCTTGATTTTGTTGCCTGTTAGCAGAAATGTCTGGTAGTTGGAGTACCTCTGACCTCTGAGGTTCCTGACTCATCCTAGGAAAGCCACATCTTCTTGCCATTGGCCTGGGTGCCCATGTTCATTTTTTTTCATGACTGTCACTTAACGACACTCTCCTGCCCGGTCAGCAGGAACAGAGGGGATGGAGAGGCAGGTGGGAAGACTAAGAAGCAGGAACACTGAACAATGAGAGGGAAGAAGGCCCATGGGAAGGTGGATGAGCTCCAGGGCCCAAATTGCTGTGGCCTGCCCTGTCTGTGATCAGCTGTCATTTCCTCTTCGTGTATGACACTGTGGAACATATTAAAATTTCTCTGGGATGGTATGTTTGGAATTCCTCTGATGCCCCACCTCACAAACTAACCGGACAATAAAAGCGAGGTTGTAAGCCATTGAACAGCTGGCTGGCTATATATTTCCCCTCTTTCTTTCCCATAATCTAATACAGAAAAGAATCCTGTTAGACTGGCAGTGCCATGTCTGGGTACTTGTTTCCTGCAAGTGCTTCCTCCACTACCTCCTCCTGCACACCCTGGAATCTTCCTGGGTGGCAAGTGGCTTCTTTTCTTTTGTTCACCACTGCTCTCAGCCCGCCCCCTTTTCCCTATGCCTGATCTCCTTCCATTGTGAGCTGCTGTTTGCTCGCCTGTTTTCCAGACAGCCTGGGTCCTGTTCCATCTGGGGAGAACAGCCCATGAGGTCTCCTCATCTCCATAGTATTCCCAGGATGTCATTCTTGGCACAGGTTCTGCTGGGCCATTAGGATATGGGGGCTTTTTGTAGTCCTGAGCCTGAACCCACTCACAGACAGGAGCAGCCACGTGGCTCGCCAAGAGCGGGGCTGGAGTGACCCGGGTTGGCAGAGACAAGCATACCATCACAGTGACCCGGACATCTCGGCGAAGGCCTGGGGTGGGAGTGCTATGGGAATGCCTGGGTGCACTTCGGCCCACATTAAGAGAAATGTGGTGATTCTGTTGCAGACTGAGAGACAAGTGACTTGGACCAAAGATCCCTGGATCTTTTGGGCTCTGCCATTCTCCTGGGTTCCTCAAGTTTCTCTGCTGTCTCTCCTCCTCAGACAGAAAGGAGGAGAAAGAGGACTTTCAATTTGGCCAGCATAGGCTGATGACTTACCAAACCCATTGCTGAAAGGGAGAACTGAGAAACCTCTCCTGATTGAGTTCGCTGAAAATGTGTAGGAATTGAGGTGAGAAAGGAGCTTGCCCTTCCTTCCCTCCTCTCTCCCTTCCTCCCTCCCTCCCTTCCTCCATCCTTCCTTCTTTTCACTTCTCTCACGACTCCCCATTTCTTCCTCTTTCTTCCCTATCTCTTTACCACAGAAGAGCAGTTTGATTCATGAGTATCGAGCAGAAGGTACTGAACTTTTTAATTAGAGATTCCCATTTAAAACTTTCATTGTGTAACATACCAAAAGACGCTGCTAATGTACATGGGAGTGAGAGTCATTATAGAGAAAACCACAAGGCAGTTTCTTATTCTTTTTTATTTCTTGGGAGCTTCAGATATCTTTTTTCAATTAACTAAAAATTCATTAAAAGACTCAAAAGGAAAAAAAACTAACATAGCTGAATTAAAATGAGCCTTTTTCTGTTAACTTGACAAGAAGAGAGGGAGAGAGGGAGGGAGGGAGAGAAAGAGAGAGAGAGGGAGAGAAAGAGGGAGAGAGAGAGAGAGAGAGAGAGAGAGAGAGAGCGCAACTTTCTACCCTTCACTGCCAGTTCTTGGGATTTAATATGAATTATTCCATACAAGTCCCTAGGCTAGAGCATCTATTTAAAGAAGCCTGGCAGCATGAAGAGAGAGGGTAAAAATACAACCACTCTTTTGTCCCATCAAAGGTTTTCTTTGGGAGGACATTAAGAGCATTTCTGTTTTCCTGTCTGCCCCTGCCAGTGGCAGCATTCCAGCTGGTAGTACCCACTCCTCACCCATCAGGTCAACAACTGTGAACTTTTCTGATTTCAGGAGAAAGTAAAGGCTGAGAAATGCTTTAGAAAGTCCCATGTGTGGACAATATGCAGGGGAGGCTGGGACTGGAATGAGTGCCTACTGGCTAGACTAT